TTTTGTGACCGGTAAGGGGATCGCAACCCTTGGCTTGGTGTTGCCCGCACCGCGCTCAGCCCGTGAGCACACCGGCCATCCTTATATAGGATCCGAACCCGCGGCGGGAGCGCTGCTGTGCTCCCAAGCGCTGCACTCTCCCGAGTGCGCCACGGGGCCGGCCCTTAACGATTATTTCATTGAAAAATTTTCAGATTGAAAAAATTAAAATGTTACAGATTCAGTTGAAGCCCCTTTTCCTAATTCTTTAATTGAATTTGAATGTTATATTTCAAACAAAATTTGATATGTTATTAAAAAATTTTATTGGTACTATTTTTAAATTGTATTTTAAAGAGGGAGGCTTACTGAAAATGATGTGAGATGCTTAAAATTTGAGGCCTTTGGTCAGCATGGGTGGATGTAGAGTAAAGTGCTGTAAAAAGTGTTATGCATGATGCAGTTATTGAAAATCAGATGCTGGGTAGAGAGATCTCCACCACCGCCCCCCTGCCACCACCCTGCCACCCCCAAATCTAAAGTCTATGAAATGCTGAAGCTCGAGGGATCTCTCCTACAAAGGAGTATGCCTAATAGCTGCTTTGATTCTTTGTGAAATAGAGAGCATCAGTCAGTCGATGATGTGTTGTTAGCATCTGCTGAGAGCTAGGACATATCAGTAAATAGTTTCTTTATAAAGAACTAGACATTTTCATCATTCTTGATTTAAAAAAAAATTTAAACTAAAAAATTCCAAATTAAGGGAGAATGGAAGGGCTGGCTGGTTAGCTCACTTGGTTGGAGCGAGGTATTGTTACACCAAGGCAGGGGTTCAGATCCCCGTACCAGCCAGAGCTGCCAACCCCCCCACCCCCCAAAATGTAAACAAAAAGACAAGCAGTCAGAATAACTAGAGTTTACCCATGAAAACAAAAAACCTTTTATAGAGTGTGGTGCTGATAACATCAGGGTCAAGGGTTTGGATCCCTGTACTGGCCAGCTGCCCCCCAAAAAAGGGGCGAAGGCAAATGGAAAAAAATTTTTTCATGTTCATGTGCTGTTTAAATGTAGAGGTTTTTTTTTTACCTTTGTCCTTATGTGTCTGTTTGATTTAATAGATTGTGTTGAGTATGGTATTCTCCAGCCCAACAACCCATGACCCACAAACCTGACTCATGAGTAAATAATTTCTAATCAGTTCGTTTTGATTTTTTAAAAAATTGAAGTATTTTCTGCTTAAACAAACTGTTACATGGCAAGTCAGTATTTGGTGCTGTTTTTCTCGTGTGAACTAAAAGAAAAGGGAGAATTTGTCTCATACTAACTGGAATTTGAAGGTTTCTTATTTACTAACTAGAGGCTGATAGAAAAGAGAGAGCAGCCTAGGAGACTTCGGAGTGGCCCCAAAACCTACCCCGCCCACTATCCTCGTGCACAAGGTAGGACATCTGAAGTCTCCTTTCTACTGTGGGACCCTCCAGACATCCAGAAAGTGCAGGATCCCAGAGCATGCAGATGTCAGGGACAGGAAAGCAGCAAGGCCAGTTCCGGCAAGTTCAAACTTCTTCCTTACTGTTGGCCCAAGGCAGGTTTTTGTTACAGAGCTCTCTGAAGACTGTGCTCAAACCTTGCCAGTGTGGTCCAGCCGTGCCCAAATATTCTCTGAATTCCTGTCTGTCACTCCAAAAAGGCCCTGCTCATTCTTAGGCGTGTTTTGGCACCAGCTGAGTTTACAGTATTGATTTTTTAGTGCATGGCCTTTGACCAACGGGCTTTCTAGCATTATTGGTGTATGGTCCTGGCTGAGCTTCAAGTTTGCCGCTTGTCTCAAATAGCTTTGTAATAAATATGACCATAAGTTGATGCCTTCTAGCTGTATGAAATTCTAAGGCATCTTTGTTCTCAGCAGTCTTGGAATCCCACATAGCATCATGCAGGAAGATGACAAAGAAAGATTGTTCCGTGGTAATTCTATGATCAGGTAGTGGAGTTGGTATGGGGCTGATTTTGGAATTCTGTTCATTGTTATCTAGCTACTTGGATAGTTGAGGAATATCTTTTTTTTCAGAACTTTATTTGTATTCTGGTTGCTAGTAATGCTCCTCATGTTAGTTAATAACTACCCTGGTTTTTAAAAATAATTTGTTATTTTAAAATAGTTTAAGACTCACAAGAAGTTACAAAAATTGTACAGAGTTCCTGTGGCCCTTCACCTGGGGCCATCTTCTGTCCACTGCTGTGCAGGGATGGGAGTCAGAGGAGTGAAGGATTGCTGAGCTCCCACCAGGTACAGGCACTTTCAGGCACTCCCCTGGCATTCACTTGTTTAGCCCTCGTGGGAACCCAGTGACTGTCCTGTTATTTTTTCTCATTTTCCAGATGGAAATGAGCTGTCCCCACAAGGCAAGGGGCCGGCCATTTGTAGTGTTGAACAGGGAGAGGGTGTTGTCTGTGCTCCAGAGCTCTGGGGATCAGGTTAAGGTTGCCTTCAGCCGAACCACTTCTTTACCTGGTTCCTTCCTGGACTCATCCCGCTTCCCTCCCTTGATAAATTAAGGGGCGCCTGAGGTTCCGTCTCCCCATCTACGGCTCTGCTCTTTCAGAGCTATACTGGGGCACCTGGTGCGATTTTAAGCTAGTCTCTTCCCCTGGTGGTAGGCAAGGTAGGTAGAGACCTGCGTGTAACCTTTTCAAACAGCCAGCAGCAGAACTGGGGGGCACCCTGGGAAAGCCACCAGGGAAGAGGTCCACGTGGAAGACTAGGAGCTGCCTGTCACATTCACCCCGAGTGTGTTCTTTGCCTGGCATGATGTCTTTTTCTTTTCTTCTACACACAGGTGCGACAGGCGGTGACCTCCGTGGTGGGGGGCTGGCTGCTGAGCCTACGGGACCGCTACTCCTTTTTTCACAAGCTCATCCCTTTGTTGCTGAGCAGCCTCGATGACGAGATTCCTGAAGTCATGTAAGTGGCCGTGGTTCTGAGGAGAGACTGAGACCTTTTGTTTCCAGATGCTGGGAGTCAGGCAGCTAATTATAGCCTACCCTTGGGCCTCTTGACGTAGGCGTGTCTTTGGTTGACAACAGTAGATTCATTTGTTTTCTGGTTTATCAGGCACTTGCTTTTCCTAAATTGTCATTTACAGCAATGATTGCTTCTCTTATTTTCAGAATTTCTCATAGAAACCTGCCCTTGTCCCCATATTCTAGGTGTTATGAGATTGTGTGGCATCCAGAAGGTCTCTGTAACTTTTAAAATATTATTTTGCATCTTTTTAACATTTTGATTG